AGGAGTGACGTCTCGGAGGCAACTTCTGGCTGGGAACGTCGTGGAGGACAAGGAGGCAGTAATGTGGCAGGGAGGGGCGTGGATGAGAGAGCTGGAGAGATTTTTGTGTTGAGACAGTGGGGTTGGTTTGGGCGAGAGGAAATGGCTTCTGATAAAAATTTCTCGAACGCTTTCTTGATGGTGCTTTGGTTAAATCCCCAAGTTGAGCCCTTGAAGACAGTCTGAAGCTGCCACTGTGGCTTCTTTGTTCCTCTCTTGACTGTAGCTACGTGCAAACCCAGCCCAGCTGGCGAGGTGGGGTGGCAGGGAGGAGCCAGCGCTAATCAGATTAGAGCTGCACTGAGCAGCTTACCAGTAACTGCTGACTGAGTGATCCCACATCAGCTCCCTGGCAGCCCTTGAAAGCCAGCCCTGCTCCCCTCCTTCTGTGCTGGGCTGAGGGACCCTCCCATCCCCTCCTTCCCTGACCTTTGTCCCCTGGGAGCTAGGATGAGGGCACATTCTCTTGTGTCCTCTGCGCTCTGTGCCTGGAGGTCTGAAGCAGGGTCTACGGGGAGTCAGAGGCAGCAGAGCTCCTCAGGGAACAAGCCCCCTCCGCCCCCATCTGAGTGGGGAGACTGAGTCCTGCCCTGAATAAGCCGGCAGCTGGGGAGGGGACACAGCCTGCTCCCGAGGACCACCCAGGGAGACAATCTTGACCACAGCCCCCGCTGAGAAGGCGGGAGACCAAACCACCTGGGCAGCAGATGTAGGTGGTGTTCATGGCGGCAGGGCTCAGAGAAGGGGCTGGATGTTAGGGGCAGAGCTCCCGGAGGGGCCCAATTTGAGGAGGGGACAGGCCTGAGCAAGGCCTGGGCGGGAGACGGAATGTGGAGGGGGACGAGGCTGCCGCTGGCCACACAGGGACAGATCGTGCCAGGGCAGATTTAGGCATAAGGCCACGGACCTCGCCTGCGTCGGTGCCAGCGTCTAAGGGCTCATCGTTCACAGGAGCCCCTCCCAAGCGGGGTGGTGCCTCTGGCATGGCAGCCGTAGCCAGGACTGGGCTGAGAGCAGGGGCGTGGAGGGCGAGGTCCCGGATCCCGGGTGAGAAGGGGCATCAGACATGCTCGGGGTTGGCAGCGGTTCCCTGAGTCCTTCCTACGGCAGAGCTGGCGCGGAGGCTGGGCGGCTCCGCGGACCCCCCTCGTCCCTCCCTTCAGGCCCTGCACCCATCTGCTCTCCAAGCCGGGTGTCTGTCCCCGGCCTTGCTCAGACGGATGCTCATTAATCACCACCAAGCACCAGCAGATAACAAAGGAGAGCTTACATTTTAATGATTTAGTTAGTTCGGCAGAGAGTGACTTCGATCTCGCTGACCCCTGGCGATATAGCCATGAATAGACCAGAGACCCATCTTCCCTTCTGAGTTTCTCCTATAGAAAAAGATGCACATTTTGAACAAAGCACAAGCTCCCTGCCGTTCAGAGCCCAGAGTGATCTGGCCCCTCTGGGGTCCCTCTCCACCACCACCCCCTGCCCCGCCCGCCACGCGCCACCTGCTCAGACCTTCTTCCGGCTCCTCCGTCACAGGCCATGTTCCTTCCCACCACAGAGGCTTCCCCCGACCCGGAGCTGTCTCCCACGCCTCCCCCTACCTGGCTTCCTCATGCTTTTGGCACCCGTCAGAAGAGCCTTCCCTGACCCCCCAGAGAGGGTCGCTGCCCTGCAGTGAGGACCCGATCAAAAGGAAGCTGGAGTTTTTAGTTAACTAACTAACTAACGGTTAGTTTCAGACACAGCAGACTTCAGAGCAAGGAAGGGGATCGGATCGCGGGGCCAGGTCGTCGAGAAGACACAGCAACTTTCACACGCATCTGCCGGACCGTGCGGCGAAAACCGCTGGACCTGCGGGGAGACACAGACACGGGGGCGACTCTGTCGGAGGCGTCAGTGCCCCTGCCTCGGAGATGAAGCCTCCCACGGCCACGAAAGGAATAAGGACACAGGCGAACTGAACAGCATCGTCAACCGACTGGATCGAATTGACTTTCAGAGACGACTTTATCGACGGCAGCAGAAAGCAGGTTCTTCGCAAGCTCATGCGGTCCATTCATCGAGATAGACTATATTCTGGGCCAACAAAACACACCTTAGCCAATTTAAAACAAAGGAAGTCATATAATGGATGCTCTCAGACCACAGTGGAGATAAAATAGAAATCACTAATAGAAATGTGGTTGGAAAAATCCCAGAATCTGTACACATCAAACACACTTGCAAATAATGCATGGGTCGAGGATGAAGTCTCAGGAGACAGGAAAAAGTAATTTCAACTAATGAAAATGAAAACGTAACTTATCCCAACATCATTTTGGGCTGCAGCAAAAGCAGTGTTTAAAGGGTCATTTTTAACACGGGACACATATGCTGGGAGAGAGCCAAGGTCTAACATCAATAACCTAGGTTTGCATCGTGGGGCATTTAATCGTTAGCACAGTGCTTGGCACAGATGGGTCATCGATGGCGGGTCTTTCGTTATGGGCTATGATTCCGCAATGCCTGCACGGCCGACCGGAAACGACCTTCCCTTCCAGACGCCCGAGGCGTTAGAGAGGGTTGCACGCCAAGCCGACCTGCACGCGGAAGGCAAGTTTCCAGAGGCACTGGAATGCCCTGTAGTCTCTCTGATGGTGGCGAGTGATAAGGGAGATGCAGGGGGTGTGACTTGGCTGCTAGTCACAGTGGCTGCAAGCACTGGTGTTCCCGACAGCTCATAGGACTGATCTGACGCTGGACCCCGGGAACTGGGCTCCGCGTCCTGAGGCTCATCCCCAGCTCATTTCCTAACACGCAGGATTGACGCATCCGGGGCCCGCCCTGGGCCCTTCCGTACCCCTCACCAGAAAGTGTGACTGATACCCAGGAGAACATGAGGTCACAGTCAAAATCCCTGGTCCCCTGAGCAGGAAGTCAGGTCGAGGAA